TTGCACTTTTGGCGGTCAACGCTACATGTTTGTTTGTTTGCATGTCTGCCCGCTTCCTGCTGTTAGCAATGTTTGTCTGGTTGTTTGTTTTGCATGCCTGCCGCTTCCTGCTGGCGACTACCGGCTCGCTTTAGGCACCCCAGTTTCACCCCATTTTTGGGACTACAGCCACGGACCACTTTGCGACTACAATCGCTGGGCTGGCATCGACTACACCTGTTCAACTACCAGTTCACAACTTCGCCCAACTACAAGCGTGCTACGACCAGCGACTACAGACCACCTCAACACCACTGCCACTCAACGCCCACCTACACAACATCTACAACTCAGCGACTTCAGCCTACACATCAACCAGACAATCCTACTACGCGGCCACGCCCGCGCTACCCACTTCACCACAGTACACAAAATTCTACATCCCCCTGACAGTTGAGAACCACTGCTTTCTCGCTGCAGGACAGGATGATGCCACTACAATCAACCTCTTCTACAACACGGCCACACTTTTCCTACCACTACACTCACTACCGGGCAAGCTTCATGAGCCAGCATACAACCGACTACAAATGTTGCACTCAGCAGCAGATGCCCACTTGTGGTGTTACTAATCATTACTACAGAATGCCCGAACCACACACCTCCACCAACCACATCAACGACTACATTCTCGTCACAATCTCACTTCCCACAGACTACGTTCAACAACTACTCAAAGACAACTCGCTGGACTATTTTGTCCGTGACTACATCAGTCACTCAAGCGCATCTGAGCCGTGCGTGTTGGTCCACAAGTAGTGACCGTAGTATTCTGCGCCACCTCACGAACTCCGACTGAATCCTGAACAGCAAGGGCTACTGAGAGCTACACCTGTTGTCTTTTCACTACAGCAGGGAAGAAGAACATCTGGTTTCATCACTACTGTCAACCCTGAGATTTCCACTCCAGTTTAAAAGATACTACATGACCTTTAACTGAGGGTCGCTGTCAATGGACATGCGGTGTTGTACTACATAGCGTGACCGCAGGCCTTGAGCTTTTCAATACATCAAGAACCCATGCGAAATAGGATCTGCGCAGACTACAGGTTTGTTTGTGTTAAGAACATTACAGCACTTGCACTTGTAGCAACCAACAATCAGAATCTAACGGAGGACAAAGAGAGAGATGTCAGAGCACATGCGGTGTTGTGCTACATAGCTTGTGCATGACCGCAGGCCTTGAGCTTTACTACATTGCGAGCCAGACACCGGAGTTACGCAGACTACACGTTTGTTTGTGTCAACAACATTACAACACTCGCACTTGTAGTAAACAGCAGTCTAAATATAACGTGGTAGCGGAGCTGAGATCCTAAACATAGGGGAGCTCCAGTATCCAGCAGTATGTACTACAACTGCAGCTGCAATCACATGCCAAACTACTACGACATGTCAGGAGAAGCAGCATCAGCTTCAGCACAACAACCTACCGGAACTGGCACAAGTAGCAACACGAAAAGTTAAGGATGCAGACAGACGTCAGAGCAGACATACGCGACCCGACACAAACAAAGCAGTAGACCTCTCCAGAGATCTACACTACATCAGCAGCAGCTACAGTAGTAAGGCAAAACCGCTACAACGCAAATGGATGTGAGACACTACGACTCTTGCACAACAGGTTCAGCCTACCAGTACGAACACGAAGCGTTGGCTACCTTACAAGCTACTGGAACCTACATTCAATGAAGCACAGTTTGAAGAGCAACTCCTACAATGGGAATACGACATCAACCTACGAGAAAGACAACGGCACAGCACTTCCAGGTGGAGTAAAGATTGCAACGCTACTCAACAAAACCAAAGGAGCACTGCAACAACATCTCCACCTGCTACAAAGGTAAAGCAACAGGCAAAGGACACTACAAGGGATTTGACAAAGGCAACAAAGGAAGCTACAACAAAGGGATACAACAAGAGCAGAGGAAAAGGCTACTCAGGATCCAAAGGCTATGGATCAAGCAAGGGCTACAAAGGCCAAGGGAACCACAGCACCACCGATGTGGCAAGCCCGGCCATTGGCCCAGGACTGCAGAGCGCCTGTGTGGCACATAGGAGAAGGAGGAGAACTACATCCGATCAGGACAACAATGAAGAACCACCTCAGAAAACGACACTTGGGACTGGTACTACGAAGGAGAAGAAGGACATGGACACGAGGTGAACTACACAGAGGAGAGGAAAGCTGGAACGACTACGACTTTGACAATGACAACAGCTATGAAGACGCAGCAAACTACATTATACATCAACAAATCACACCTCACCATTCAATACATCAGACAAGCAAAGTCACTACCACACAAGCACAAGTCCACATCATTACTTGGAGAAAGCAACACACAACATCACGGAACGAACACAGCAAGAGCTTTCAACAAATCTTACAAGAGGACGCGACACAACTACACTTCGACATAGCAGCAGCAACACAACAGCAAAGAAACACGAAGATTGAGGACACCATTGCACACTACATTACGTGCTCCAACTTCAAGTTAGACCACCACCTCCTGATCGACTCAGGAGCATCTACACATGTTTGCCCAAAGGGCTACGCACCAGATCTACCTCAACGACCTCGTGGAGAATCAGTTTCACAACTCTACACAGTTACCAACAAGAAGATCCCTGTTACGGAGTGAAATATGTTCCCTACAAGCAGGACAACTTCAGCATCATGATACCCTACTACGTTTGTGATGTGAAGTATCCTATCCTCAGTGCGTCAGGACTCGGCTTCAATCCACGACACTGCGCCATCACACATGGACAACCCGAGCAGAAGATCTACCCAACGGCAAACCTACAGCTCACCTAGAGCATGGCAGCACTACCCGGCTGAAGCGCTACAAACGCTCAACTTTGTGAGACTTCAGTCAGAACCCAACGTCTACACCAATGCAACTTGCGACTGCTACATCATGGTCTACGACGACCTGTTGGTCTTGGCGACAAGACTACTGTAGACTCCTCAAACGCGTTGGCTACCTCGAACCTGGCATGCCACAACAATTCCTGGGAAGAAACATCGAGCACTTTGGCGACTGCGCTCTTCAACTTCAGGACTCCAACATTCACAACATGATCGAGGAGACCGGAATGACCAACTGCAACACAGTGACCGCTCCAGGAACCGCCCACTACAAACCAACAATAGATAGAGGATGAAGCACTACTCGACCACGAGCGCCTACTACGCTATTTGCACGGCACCAAACACAACAAAATCACCATAGAACCGAAAACGACACTAAGAGCAAACACCAACAACATCCTGGATCTCGACGTTCATGTCGATGCTGACTGTGCAGGATGCCCTGCTACCAGGCAAAACTTCAGGTTTCAACATCATCTTTCTTGGAACAACAGTTGCATTTCGCAGCAGAGCGCAAGCTACAAAAGCACTGTTCAGCAGAATCTGAACTCTACGCAATTTGCACAGGAGTTAATGAGGGACTACACCTCAGAAACTTCCTACTCGAAACAAACATTTGCAGCAAGCTAAACCTACGCGTTCACGCAGACTCCACAGCAGGCAAGAGCATTGCTACACGACAAGGCACAAGCAAACGAGCAAAACACATCGACAAATTCCTCTACACGCAAGACCTCATCAAACACAACATCATCAGAATCCTCAAGATCAACACACTTCACAACAGCGCAGATTTGTTTACCAAATACATCAGCTACTCAGGCTCATCCAGCGCATTGGGATACGCATTTAGCACTACGAACGACGTGCACAGCTGTTTCACAACAACAACTACTCCAAACTTTTGCATGTACCAGCTTCATGTTTCATGACACTTTTGGTATAAGTAACAGTAACTACTTGTCATGACACTTGCACTGTTGGCGGCATGTTTGGCGGCTTCAGTCAACACTACGTGTCTGATTGTTTTACATGTCTGCCCGCTTCCTGTTAGCAACTACAGGCTCACTTTAAGTGCCCCGTCTCTCTTCATTTTTAGGACTACAGCCATGGACAATCATGCGACTACAATCGCTGAGGACGAGGTTGACATGGCGTCACCTGACACTACAACACCCGTCCAACTACCAGTTCACAACTTCGCCCAACTACAGGCACGCCGCAACCTTCAACTACAGACCACACCACCGCCATTCAGCGCGCACCTACGAAATGTCTACAACTCTAACGAGTTCAACCTTCACATCAACGACACCATCCTACTACGGGCCATGACCACACCACCCGCAACACCGCAACACACCAAATTCTACATCCCCCTGACGGTTGAGAACTACTGCTTTCTCGCTGCAGGACAGGATGATGACACTACAGTCAACCTTTTCTACACCACGGCCACTTGAGAACCAGCAACACGATTTTTGCCACTACACTCGCTGGGCAAACTACATCAGCCGGCGTACGACCGACTACAACTACTGCATTCGGCAGCTGATGCGGGGTTACTACACCTTGAACGAACTCCACACATCCACCAACCACGTCAACGACTACATTCTTCTCACCATTTCACTTCCCACAGACTACACCAACAACTACTCCAAGACAACAACTTGGACTACTTTGTGCGTGACTACATTAGTCACTCCACTTCAATCCAAAGCCACTACACCCTTCGCTTGTCCCACTACCAGGGAGCCTCCTTGATCAACTACAACGTCAACGACTTCACCCTCCACTACACCCTAACGGCTACATCTGGGATTTCCACCTCCTCATCAACACTCAACAACTACTCCACCTTTAAGTACAGCCTACACCCCAACAACACAGTGCGACGTGCTGTCCACTGCATTTTGAGCAAGACTTAACGAGAGAGAGAGAGAGAGAGAGAGAGAGAGAGAGAGAGAGAGAGAGTGAGGGGAAAGACAAGGAAGGAGAAAAAGGGAGAGGCCAATGTTGGCGGAGTGAGCCGGAAGCTGTAAAACTACACGTCCGTTGCTGCGCCCAAGCTGCGGTCCTGCAGCTCCCCCTCCGTCATCCATACCCGAATCATGGCAAGCAAAGGCTTTACCACAGAACCTGCGTCACCCAAACATCCGAAGGGAACCAAGCTGAAAGACGTGAAAAGATATGAAAAGATATGACATGGAAAGAATAGCAAAGCAAAGATTGAAATCCACATCACACCGGTCGGCCAAGCGCCAGGCGGAGAATCCGATGGGCAGAGTCCCGCACCGCCGTGTCCCCGGAATGGGAAAAGGCGTACACCAGCGAGGCAAGCGCGCCGCCGAACAGGCCTCAGAACTTGGTTCGGTTCGGCCCTTCGACTTCGGCCACGCGACCTCGAGCGCCTTCGCAGAGTTGCGACAGAAATAGTAATCCTTCAGCACAGAGACGAAACTCAAAAATACCTAAGCTGAAGAGCTCAGGCTCCAGCGCGACTTCGGAGCTTGCAATCTCGCCCAGAGAGATCGAAGGCTCAAGCCTGCAAGAGGTCCGGGATGTTGGGCTCTGGGCATGGGACGCTGTACTGCGCATGTGTATCTGAGCCAATTGACAGCGTCATTGGCGTCTCACGATTTGCGGCATTTGCGTCATTTGCGTGGCGCCTTCAGCAGACAGCAGGGCCAGCACTTCGTAGTAGTCCTGGCGACAGCCACGCTGCCACACTGCCGGCTCCGGACCGGTGTGCCTGGAGTTGGCCCCGGAGAGCTTCGCAAAGCGCTTGGTGGAGGAGTCCTCCTGTGTCCTGTGTTAAAAGTGGTTGCGCATGTTGCGCGTTACACTTGTCACTTTTGGCTGCGCTGCAAACAAGTTCATGATGCCGGGCGGGGGCGCTTTCGAGACGGTGTGACACGCGCCACACCTTTGCAGCTGCAGACAGGCGAAGGTGCAGGCGAGCGATCTCCAGGACTCGTTGGCACAAGAGCCACGCAGGCCTCTGGCCATCTCTGGCAACCCGTCTCGCAACCCACTTTTAAGCAGCGTGCCTGGAGAGGACGGTGTCGATCTCAAAGCTCTCCCCTTTGGAGGTTGCACTGGTAACCCCCTGGACGCAGGACTCGCTTGAACTCGCTTCCGACTCGCTGCTCCGTCCGGGCAGCGCCTGCAGCGCGAAGAGCAAGTCTCTCACCAGCTTGGCCTCACGCGCCAAAAGCGCCGAGCGAGGTCAATGGTTCAACAGCCAGCCTCCGGCCCAATGGCCTCCGAGCCACGAGAGCCACATTTGCACAAGGTCAAGGCTGCGCCTCTGTGCTCTCCATCCTGCAAGCAGCGCAAGCAGCGCAAGCAGTGCAAGCAGTGCAAGCAGTGCAAGCAGTGCAAGCAGTGCAAGCAGTGCAAGCAGCATAGCGCAAGCTTTGGGCGCGGCTCAAAGCCGCCAGGTCGCCTCTTAGAGCTGAGCAATGGGAGCGCAGGCTCAAAGTGCGTCCTTCAAAGCCGCGCAGTGGCAACCAATGTGATTTCTCTCTTTTTTGCGAACTCGAACATCTTGACTGCGCCTTGTGTAACACTGCCTCACTTCTGTGTTTGAGTCGGGTTACTCGACGCCACCGCTCCTCCCGCCGTCTGTCCCGTAAGCGCATGCATCGAGAGAGTGGTCGCCACGCAACTCGTACAAAAGGCTCAACACCGACCTCACAATCGAACCTCTGAAAACATCTCAATTGACAGGCGCTGAGAAATCCGAAATCTATGAACAATTGAATTGAACTTCGATGCCTTGCAGCAGGATGCCGCAAGCGCGTCTTCAGCCCTTGAAACCGCAGGTGCCTTGAGAGCAGCGGAAAACGTGCGGAAACGTGTGAACAAACGCGCAAAATGGCAATTGCGGGCGGATTTGCACAGAGACATCATACAAAAGGTGAATCTCCAACCTGTCACATGTCATATCAGCGCCTGTCGACGCCTCGCTGTCGGCCGAGTCCTGAAACGGAAACGCAATGCCACAGCGAAGTTCAGCGAGAGACGTGTCAGTTGCGAAGCCAAAGTACCAAAGAATACTTGGAAATGGTAGCGTGCGTCAATCCGCGCAGTTGATCCATGCAAGGCGACCAGGATACTCTTGACAAGTTGGCACTTTGAAAAGCTGGCAGGAGCAGTTGCGCCGTCAAGCTCCCGAGGCTGTGCTCAAATCGCTTGCGCAAACTTTCACGCCCAGCTAAGAACAAACCGTAACTTCGCATGTCGCGCGGGCCAGGAGCTCACTGCAGCAAAAACAGCGATGCAAGGCACGGCGCCCAAGTTATGATATATTTGCAGGGCTGCGCTACATTGCAAGCGATATGTGTGTTTAAAGGGTGAGACAGGCAAGGCAGTGGAGGATGCTTGCTCACATCAGTAGAAAAGATGCAGGAACTGGCCTGTTAGGGGCTTGGGTGGGGCCAAGTGCAGTGATACGTTGGGGAACTATTGAGATTTGCAAAAATGAGTGTTTTTCTGCAATTCCCCACCTGTACGGAGCACTTGCTGCGAAACATCCCCTGCGTTATCGTGCTTTGGAAGTCTATTTTTAGGCTATTTGGGGGGGGGGTTGCTAGTATCGGTTGTTGATGGCTCTTTTGGGAAATGTCCGAAAACCAGGTTTTTCTTTTGCATTTTGTTCTGCCTAGCCGGCTGCATTCCCAGCATTCCCCACATCTCTGTTCTGTGTTTGGTCAATGGTGCGTTTCTGAAAGTCTTAAAATCTTGAGCGCGAAGATTGGGTATGTTCCTGTAAGTTGTGCGGTTGCATCCCTTGCGTTTCCAGCATCCTCAGCATCTGGCACATGAAAACAGGAAAGTGCAAGAAGGCCTTGTTGTGCTTGCCAAAAAAACATTGGGCCTTGCTTTTATACCCTCGGGGGCGGTTGAAAGAGTAGACCCTAGTGTTCTTCTCCTGTCACGTTTTCAGCCCTGCAGCCGAGCGGCGTTGTTCGCATTCCCGTTAAGAGGCCCATGTCACCGAGGCAAAAAATCAGTGTTTGCCTTAGCCCAAATTCGAGGCACCCTCTCCTTCCATGTGTTAAGAGCCCCATGTGACGGCAAAAAAACGTCTTTTTCCTTACGTTCTCCTTCCACAGTACCGTTGCTTGTTCTCCTTACAAGCGTTAAGACACCCATGTGACCTAGGCAAAAAGATGTCTTTTTCCTGACCCCAAACTTGAAGTACCCTGCAGCCAGCGTCAGAGGGGCGTCGTTTCTCTTTTCAACTTGTTAAGCCCATACGACCTAGGCAAAAAATGTCTTCCTCCTTGCCCGGAATTCAAGGCACCTCAGAGGGGCGTTGTTTGTTCTCCACAGGCGTTAAGAGACCCATGTGACCTGGCCAAAAAAACGTCTTTTTGTTGACCCCAACTTGAGGTACTCTGCAGCCAACGTCAGAGGGGCGTCGCTTGGTCTCTTTTCACTTGTTAAGAGTTCCGTATGACCTAACCAAAAAAACGTCTTTTTCCCTGCCCCAAATTTGAGGCACCCTGCTCCGACGTCAGAGGGGCGCTGTTTGTGTTCGCTTTCCGCGCGTTAAGAGCCCCAAAAACAACATCTTTTTTCTTACCCCAAATTCGAGGCACCCTGCAGCCGACGTCAGAGGGGCGTTGTTTGCGGTATCCTTCCACGCGCTACGAGCCCCACTTGACCTAGGCAAAAACAGCGTTTTTCCATGCCCCAAATTCAATGCACCACGTGACGTCAGCCCCAGTTTATTCATAGGGGACTGTCCACTGGCGTCGGCGGATCGCGTAGCGATTTCAATAAATCATGCAACATGTGCAGCCTTGGCGAATTCGCGGCGATGCTATCAAAAAAGAACCGCAGAAGAACAATTTGTGGCGCCGACATCAACAAGAAAGACACAATGATGAGCGAATGCCATCAACAAGAAATGAGGCAACGTGTGCGGCGATGCTATCAACAAAATGCGCAGCACTGAAATGAAAAAGGCAGGAGGCAAAATTGTGGCGATGCCACCAATAAGAAATAAACAGAATTGCGGCGGCACCATGAAAATGTGCAGCGACGCAATTTGCGAGGATACAATACAATGCACAATGTGCAACGAGAGCATCAAGAAAACACAGGCAAAAAAGGGGGTACAATACAATATCAAGTGTGCAGTGATGCCATCAACCGGACATGGGGCAAAAGGGGGGGGCAATACACTCAAAGGAGAGGGAAACACAGTTTTCTCAACAACGGGGGAACCCGGGACCTTAAAAGGAACGAACCCCGCCGTGACTGCGACCTCTCCCCTAACCTTGTGGGCAGCGCGTGCAACGCGCTCTTTTCAGCACTTGAGCCAAATGACATGCGGACATGTCATCTGTGTCTTTGACGTGTTTGTACACCATGCAACTTGTTGTACCTCTGGGCCATAAATGTCATCGTGATAATTGACTCCCCCCTCATTGACGGCACTGAGGGAGCGTCTTGGGCGCATTACCACGCCAACTTGAAGTCAAGTTTACATCACAACGACTGACGCAAGTTATTCAAGCATCGCCCAGTCACTTGCACACTTTTGGAAATTTTGCGGACATGCTGCAGCGCACTAGGCAGCTGCTTTAGCGGACCTACTTTCACGAACGTCTTCAAGCTTCTCTGGAAGGTCAACACGAATGCCGAGCAACCTGATGGCATGGTCCCACTTGTTGGGTGGAAGTGCTTTCGTGAAGATGTCTGCTGACTGCATGTCTGTTTGGACGTATTCTATTGAGATGTGTTCGCTTTCAAGCTGCTCTGCGACGCAAGCGAGGTTCACCTTGTGCGTGCGTTGTACACAGCGTAGCTTGGATGAGAAACCCTTCTTTGCTACGAGGTCGCCTGATTGTCCTCGTGGATCTTGAGATGGAATGGTCTGTCCAAGATCAGCTCCCATAAGCTGAGCGCAGGAAGTGCCTCCTGGTACAGGGAGTACGCAAGAGATACGATTTCCGCCTCGGTCGTCGATCGGGAGACCGAGGTCTGCCTTTTAGACACCCACGCGAGGGGAAAGTGCGTATGTGGACCACTCAAAATCAAGAAGCCTCCGGACGTTGACTTTGCGTCTCGTTCTCCAGCGAAATCAGCGTCCACATAGAGAGACAGATGCAACTCATCAGTCGAATCCTGAACTGTGCCAACTAGCGTGCTGTTAACCGTGCTGTTTATGTAGCAGACAAGCCTATGTAGCTGCTTATCGCAGTTCCTAGACCATTTCTGAACAAAGGAAGCAAGGTCGCCAATGGGCTTGACCCAGGTCCGGGCGTGCCAAACGACCCAACCATAAGGCTTTCATCAACACGCGGCAAGCGGCGAAGCCGAGATCACCCTCCAAGGCGTCATCTGCGGGGTCTAGAGATCCAGCGGGACAGAATGGAGTGGTGGCATCACGCAACTTTTCAGTTTTTAGCTGTGCAACCTCAAGATATAATGCAACCGTTTGACGAGCATAATCTCGCATGTCGAACGCCATGCCCCCTTTCAATCTGCCCATTGCGGCATTAAGATCGGGTTCAGTTGGGTCCTTTGGAGCATCTATCAAAAGGTGATTCCTGCCTAGCACCCGATATATGTCTTCTGGGTGTTCTATATCAACCAGTCTTGTTAACTTTTCCCAGAAGTCTTTATGAAGGTGGCTGGGGCCGGCCAACGTCAAGTCGTCGACGTATGTCGAGAGAAGTAACCCGGACTCCTTGAACCAGAAGTTTCCAGGAAACTCTGCGATCTCACGCCCCCCAAGTTCACTAATGAAACGTTTGAGGTGTGCCTCCCAGAGTCCGCCAGCGTCAGGATGCCCATAAAGAGCTTTAACGAGCAAAACCACAGGTTTCACGAAACGCTCGCGCCACCACCTTGGCCGGAGCTCAGGCGGGAGTGTGATCCAAGTTTGGTACTTGGATTTCAGCAGTGCTTGCACATAAGCCTTTATAGCGTCCGCTGTTGTGGTAGAGTTCCCTGGCAGGGATCCATAAGCGAGACAGTTATTAAGACCTTGTACGCTCGTGGGATTTGCTCCCAGTTCTTGGTAGACAGCTGCTGCGCCATGTTCGTCTTTCGCACAGTCTCCGCGATACACAATCCTACCTTTCATCTTCTGTAGGTGTTTCGCGAGTTCGGCGAACTTGACGGATGCTAGCGACATCAACTGCCCGAAATGAACTTTTATACTGGATCGTCGCGCCTCAGCAGCGACTTGATCATACTCTCGGACTGAATTTAGATCCCAAACACCGGCTTTCTCCAGGCCCGTGGCTTCAAGTCGAACGGCTTCAAGGGCTTCCGGGGAAGCCAACATTTCGGCACGTGACAAGAGTCTGGTCACCATTGCGGTGATTTCAGGATCCTTCTCCTCCTTGACTTGTCCTAGGGAATGTGCGATGAGATTTTCAACATCAAGAACTTGTTCAAGGATGTCGTGACACTTTTCATCGGACTCGACAGCAATACCTATATCTTCCAAACCAGAGAGAGGGGATATGTGTTTTAGCTGCTGTTCACGTTCCCGGTGATCGAGAGGCAATGGCACTTGGACAGGCATCGCAGGCACAACGGGTTGTACTGTCGGATACAGCGCACGGGCAACTGTGAGACACATGCCTTCGGGGTAGAAAGCGGTCTTTGCGGTCTTGTTACCTGCTGCAAGCGAGTGTTTATACCCTTTTTCGTGCGGACGCTTGAATGCACTTAACGCGGATGCGAGGGTGCTATTGCTGGTCATGACTTTCCATTGCTTTTTGATGGGGTAACCATTGCTGTCCTTCAGACCTAGGGCGCAACCGTGGATTCCCTAAATTCCCTAAAGAATGCAGAAACATCATCCCTAGCCCAGCTGTCGCAAGCCCTTGGCCATTCAAACGAAACACTACCCCCCCTGATGCTCGACTCTCTAACCTTTTGTTTCAGTTTCCTTTTGAACTGGCTTCCTAACTTGGCCTTATTAAGGCGTTGCCATGCTGAACCTGATGTGCAGG